CAAAATGCTGAGAACATGCTGAACTTGTAGCGTGAAAGGAAAACACAAAATGTTTCCTGTCGAGTTTAATTAGAACCTCAGCACTTCCTCCAAATCTCTATTCTGCAACTGTAATCTATTCTATTCTTATTCTTCAAACAAACAACTGACCACCCTCCCTCCAAACACAAAAATCCATTATTTAAAAAAAAACGTTAACTGTAGTTGTACTATTCTAACTCCTCCGACAACAATTTACCAGAAATTAATAATTTAATAGCAATTATCAGCTGGAAAGAGTCTAATTTGTATCAGCTTGTTTCAGAGAAGAGCCGACAGAATGTACCAGTGCACATTTTTCTGCGGAGTGGTGCTGAGCGAAAGAACAGACAGAGGCATGCCCATAGCCCACGGCCGCGGGCAAATATTCATACTGCTGCTTCAAGTGCCGTTCCATCAGATGCCTTTCGGAGAGTAAATGGACATTTTGCTCTGTTAATTCAAAGCAACCGGCTGCTTCCTGAACTCAGTGATGTAATTATGCAAAAACCTGCAGTCGTGACGGCGTGAGGTACGTTCCTGAGACCAGTATGAGGTGAGATCACCCAAGACCACGAACATGAGGCACATCCGTCTTGACTGTGGATATACTGAGTAGGTGAAATCTGAGAAACATCCCAGTAAAATGCTGAAAGTGGAGCGTTCGGGGCCTTTAGTATGAGCTCTGAGCTCTTGGTTTTGACCCCTCTGACTCTTTAACGCTATTAAAATGAAGCCTGTTTTAAATCGTGGCTGTGAAATTATAAATAGTAAAAATGATGCTGTAGTTCATTTCTACCCGAAGCTCTACAGAATCGATACTTCATCTAAAGACTACAGTAGTCCTCCAACACTGTGTAGCATCTGCTCTGAAAATTGTTACCGCAGGCATTTTTTCTTCCATCATTTGTACTGTATTGGTTAAAAGCTACCATGGGCTTCAGAATTTCTGGTACAGCTCAATCCCGGCTCCAGAACAGTTCAGCCATTGGCCTTTTATGGACCAGCTAATGCTAAGCGTAAGGCTAAAGGATCAGCAAAGCTAGGAAACAAAGAACCTACCAAACTGTCCAAAAGTTTGTGGACACCTTTCTTCTGAAATGAAGGGTATTAATAGGGAGTTTGGCTCCCTTTGCTGCCTCTACTCTTGTGGGAATGCTTAACACTAGATGTTGGAACATTGCTGTGAGGATATGATTGAGCATTAGTGACGTGAGATGTTGGATGGCTAGTTGTGGATCACTCCAACTCATCCCAAAGATACTGAATGGAGCTCCATCACTCCAGAGAACGCAGTTCCACTGCTCCACAGCTCAATGCTGGGGGGCTTTATACCCCTCTAACCCATGCTTGGCATTGCGCATAGTACTGAAACGTTGCGTTCTTTTGGCAATGCTTAGCCATGGAGGTTACAATATTCATATATATACAAGCTGCACCTCAAAGATGGATTCACTGATTAGCAGGTGTGTCTGGACACGTTTGGACATACAGTGTATAAGAATCTTAGTTGGCACTCTCTAAATTATCTGCAGCAATGAGAAAAGCTTGCTCACTAAATGATCAGCTTTGGCTGTGACAAATTACGGCATGAGCTTCTGTCCACAACCTATGAGCTTCCAAATCCACCCAATCAGACTGCTGCCCAAGTCCTCAGTCTTGTCAACATTATGCTGGCGCACTGCGCGCGATTAAAAACACTGAACGGCTTCAAACAGAATCCACATCCCAGAAAACAACAGAACATAAAAATTGTGAAATATGATTCTGAAAATATGAGGTAGCTGTAGTAGTTTAACAGGCTCTCAATGCCAATAATTACACTGACTGATAACACAACAGGGTAATATTATGAAAGAGACATCAGTGTAGATCAGATCAACCCAACAGCACTAATTATTATACATGCTGGCCAGCCCAATTCAGCTTTTAATGTGCTCTGATCCTGATTACTCCAAATGAAAACATTTTGGATGATTCTGGATATTCGGTGGTGCTCTGTAGCTGTTAGACAGCTCATGTGAGAAACCAAAAAGAAAAAAAAACCTGATTTGGATGAAATATAGGAGACTGATGGGCAGAGTCATTTAGAAAATTAATGAAAACTACTCTGGTGTAACCTCTATTTAGCCTCACACATCTGCAAAAGCACAATCTCAGTGCAGTTTATAGGCCAGGTGCTTATGTTATACCTCCATATAACATGATCCATGTTATGTTTCATATCAAATACATATGTTTCATATCTAAATGCTCCGTTATCTTCATCACTACTTTCCAAAACCGCTGCAGCAGCTTCAGTGGCTGTAAACTCTCTGCACGCCGTTTCACATGAGTCTCCGATGTGGACTGAATGAAGAATGAAGGGTGTCCGGCATGATGGTCAGTCCTTAGTGATTTCCTGAGTGTCCATTGGTCAGTTTCACACAGAATGTAGACGGACACACGAATCTACCAGTTCCACACGGTGAGAGGCAGATGACGTGTATCTCAGCCCCTCTTCATAGGCTCATAACTCCGGATGTGAGTCTCGTTTGATCTCGAGATAAGATGGAATGGAAAGGGCGACTCTACAGATTCAGGGAGTGTTTGAACTGGATTTCTGAGCTGGATCATCAGAAAGATACAGACACAGATACAGAGACAGAGAATTTGACACACAGGTGAGCTTGTGGACACCAGAGGGTTAAGAAAGCCCCTTAGCAGCTATTACATCCACAATAAAAGACGGAGCTACTAGTGCTTTCAGCAGATATTAGCAAAATGACAATGCTACTGCTAATACAGGTCAAGGTTTCTAAGAATTTTCTATCATTTTTAGGTTTAACTCTTTACATCCTGGTTGGTGAAACTTTTATGCAACTTTAGTTGCTTAAAACCTAAATTAAACTAAATTGCACTTGAGTTGCATAATGTAAGAATCCTGCAACTTATTTAAACTCAGTTGCAACTGTTGCAAGCGTCTGAACTTCGTGAAACAGCTAATCAAAAGCCAATAATACATCATATGATTATGCATCCCCCAATTTTCTCCACAATTTAACCGTATCCAATTCCACCCACTATTTAGGACTTCCCCAATCACACCATACCACCAGCGCTAGGAGGGCGAAGGCTAGCACAGTCCTGTGTCCTGTGAAGCGCCACCATCTTTTCAAACTGCCGCTCACGCAACGTCATTGGACAGCTGAATGCGCTCTGAGGAGAACACTAACCGCCAGTCCTGTTACGTCAATTAATAGACGCCTGCACTGGCTAGCATGGTGGGACTGATGTGGAGATGGGGGGCCATCCTACCCACCCAGAGTGACCAAGGTCAACTGTGCTCTCTTGGACTCCCGGCCATGGACGGCTGTAGCATCAATAGAAATCTAATGTAGTTTTGTCAGTTTCGTGATCAATGCCAACAAGCAAGCTTCTCAAAGCTGATGTTTCTGTAACCAGCTGTGCAAACTAGCCAGCCAGCGCTAACAGCTGTTTAAATGGCTGCTTGTTCCAGCGTTTATTCTTCTTTGTTAGCCTGTTGTTATGGTGATCTACACAGCTAGATTTACTTTCTCCTGTCTTCTTCACAACACAAAACTCAGAATAAACTGGAATCCAATGAAAATGATTACAGAAGGAGCGACTGAGCGGTTCTTCTTGTGCTCACAGGACAGGATGAGTGAGCTATCAAGTAGGCTATAACTGTAACAGCCACTTAAACATTACATTTCAAAGGCTTAACTCACAAAAGTTTAAACCTCAAAGAGATACAGTAAATGACTCAAGAGAGATAATACAGGGATACAGATATCGAAAAAAGAATGCCGATGACAGCTCGAAGAAATATACAAAGGTAATACAAATGATGCTAATGTGTTAATAACATCTCTGATGACTTTACAGTGAGAATGAAACTAACTGGTGAAGTCGCTGAATGCGTTGCATGCAACTCTGCTTTTGAATTACTGTCAAGTTGCGAGGAAATTATGCTGCAGGCAACTCACAACGTGCAACTAGTTGCACACACTTTTCACAGAGAACAAAACTAACTTGTGGAGACGCTGAATGCATTGCGTGCAACTTTGTTTTTGAATTGCTGTCAGGTTGCAAAGAAATTATGTTGCAAGCAACTTACAATATACAATATACAAACTAGTTGCATGCACGTTACACCAGATATACAGATATAGAAAAAACGTTAATGACAGCTGGAAGAAATATACACAGATGATAAAAATGCAATGTGTTAATAACATCTCAGATGACTTTACAGCGAGAATGAAACTAAGTGGTGGAATCGCAGAATGCGTTGCGTGCAACTTTGTTTTTGAATTGCTGTAAAGCACCAGCCTAATTAAAGACAGCCTAAAGGCCCACACTTCCATTCTTCACTTTCATAGCAACATAACTTGCATATTAAATTCATATAGTTATAGTAATTCACAGGAGTTACTTAGCAAGTCTTACGATAATAACTGACTAATAAGCCTGGAGTTTAAGCTAAAATGAAAACAATCATATTCTATCATGGGTGAGCAGTATGGCAAAATAGAGTATGGGACTGGAAGAGACTTTTACATTATCCATATGTACATACATCCACAATAACATCACGTATCATGATATCTCGCTGCAATAACCAGCAGTTAAAAAGTAAGAAATGGCATGAGTACAGTTTCCTTTATCCATGGTTTTACACACTGAAATCCAATTAAACTATACACATTATGCTCACTTGGACTCCTGATATCTTTCCCCCAACAATCTGTCCAAACCTCAGAAAACTGTGGGAGTCTATTCTACTTAGGGGTCTATTCTAAAGTCACTGTTTAATGAAACATGTAGTGGTCAATATTCTTCATATCGCCCACCTCTTTGTTCTATGTAAGTACACAGCTTTTGTAATTTGGCTCCTCTGAACCCCGAGCCTCCATTTCTTCATTGCATTTCCGCTGTTAAATGATCATCTGCTTACAAACTCACAGCGGGAGACCTACCCTCGTTACACAGGAGGCCCTGCCTTCCATGTGGGCACAGACACACTGCCTCCAGCTGGGACTTGGGAATGCAGGTGGCGCCGTGAGCACACGGGTTGCGCTCGCAGGCGGTGAACTGGCACAGCTTGCCCGAGTAGAGCGGGGGACACACGCAGAACCAGTTCTCTGCATCGCTGCACACAGAGAGAGAGGAAAAAAAAAAAACAGAAGAAAGGGGAAGAGATCATTAGGACCCAAATGAAATGTACTCTTGCTGCATCATTAATTCAGTTCAGTTCAGTGGAGCTTGTGTGGAAAACACAGGGAAAGAGGCAGGGGGAGGGAGAAGAGGGAGAGATAGAGGGAAGGAGGAAGGAGAGGAGGAGGCAGGGAGAATACCAGAAACGACCACAGCGTGCGACGTCATGGTCCTGCTACGCAATCGGTGGACGAGACTGACATGTGCTTTCGATAATCCCTGTCAGCTCTCATTGAATTTGCTATTATATCGCTGGAGTCTTACTCTGATGGATTGACCGTGCAGAGCGAGACAAATCAAATACAACAGATTCATTCAGAAATGACCAGACCCGGCCCCGGCGGCGGCGGCTCGTCCAGGATCGGCAAAAGCAAAGCAGCGTTTTTGGTTGATTCGGATCTGTCTCACTGTTACCAACCGATTGGAAATGTTCAAGCTAACACCAGACTATGAAGAGGGGGCGAAAGAAAAAAAAAGGCCAGACAAGATTCCACTAGCAGGCTGGCTCATTTCATATTCTTGTGCTTTATCTCCGGGCGAGAAGTGGAGGGTGGGCCAGCATGATAAGCAATATTCAGACAGGGACTTCATATGCTGCTCCAAGATGCACACACTTTTCAAAGGTAGGATATAAGATACAGGAAGCATTCGAGGGGTTTGGAATCTATAAATTAATAATGTGCCTTGAGCTGAGCCACAGCGGGGCGTGTTGTGCCGCTCCAGAACTGGATCCTGAGAAATGAAATATTTACATTCTGTCGCCGGAATTTAGAACCAGATTGCCTTGATATGAGAAAAATAGATACACACATATATCTATACATATATAGACCTATATATACATATATATTTTCTATCTATCTATATATATATACACATACATATGTGTGTGTGTGAAAAAGACATGGCATCATAAGATTTCTTGATTAAACATCACACTACAACTATGACATGTTCAGCATGTAACAAGCCTGGGATTTTAAGATGTTCACTTTAAGAACTTATACAATGTCACATGATACAATGTCCTTCATCTCAACCTCATGCAGGTATGATTCTCTCAATTCTTCTGCAGCCAAAAGCAACTTGGCATCAAGTATCTGTGGCATACACAAAACATAGCTTGAACGGGTTGATCTGCAGCGATCTCCCCTCTGACGACAGTCAGTAATTTCCCCTCGCTGTCGGTAACTCATCGGGCGACCTGGTTTGTGGCAGCTTCTACACGAGAGCTCTTTAGGCTATTCCCAGGGAAGGACAGCGCGCGGTTTGTCACTGCCGCTCCGGGACGGCAGGGGGTAACGCCACAGCAGGCTGCGAGATTAGTGCCCTGCATTATGTGGAACATGCAAACACATCTGTTTCGGTGACTGATTGCCCTTCAGCTCACTCCTGGCTCAAACCGAGGCAGGTACAAGGGAAAAGGGAAGGAAGCTTAGGTGTCTGCTGCAGCCGGCCTGTCACATACAGAGCTGTGTACAAATATACGGATAGGGGTTTTTCCAGATTTTTGGCACTAAATAATATCAGGCCCAAATATCTGAGAAGAGGAAAACTAAAACATACAATATTTAGAATTAAGAAAAGTAACTTAACACCCAATGATGCCCATTACCTAGCATCACAAATTAATAACCTGGCTGTGACGTTAATAACCACAATCCACTGCTTCCTGTAGTTATTGGCCATTTGGTCCCACCGTGGTGGAGATATTCTGGCTCGTTCCTAAACTCTGGGCTGGCGTTTCTGAGCCTGAACTGTCCACGGCAACCAAACAAGGCAACAGTTCTGCAGGGCCTAGAGTTTGTTTTTCAGATTTGCAGAGATTTTGCCCAAGTAGGGTTGAGATTAATTCAGGTTTAGATACTCAGACTATGATTAATCCCGTTTCTCAGATACTCAGGCTGTGATTAATCCAGAATTTGATATTCAGACTGTGATTAATCCAAAAATAGATACTCAGACTGTGATTAATCCAAAAATAGATACTCAGACTGTGATTAATCCAGGATTAGACACTCAGACTGTGATTAATCCAGGTTTAGATACTCAGGCTATGAATAATCCAGGTATAGATACTCAGACTGTGATTAAGCCAGGTTCACATACTCAGACTGTGATTAATCCAGGTTTTGGTAATAAAACTGTGATTAATCCAGGAGTAGATATTCAGGTTGTGATTAATCCAGGTTTAGATACTCAGGCTATGAATAATCCAGGTTCAGATACTCAGACTGTGATTAATCCGGGTTTAGATACTCAGGCTATGAATAATCCAGGTTCAGATACTCAGACTGTGATTAAGCCAGCTTCAGATACTCAGACTGTGATTAAGCCAGGTTCAGATACTCAGACTGTGATTAATCCGGGTTTAGATACTCAGACTGTGATTAATCCAGTTTTAGGTTCTCAGACTGTGATTAATCCAGTTTTAGATACTCAGACTGTGATTAATCCAGTTTTAGATTCTCAGACTGTGATTAATCCAGGTTTAGATACTCAGGCTATGAATAATCCAGGTATAGATACTCAGGCTGTGATTAATCCAGGTTTTGGTAATAAAACTGTGATTAATCCAGGAGTAGATATTCAGGTTGTGATTAATCCAGGTTTAGATACTCAGGCTATGAATAATCCAGGTTCAGAAACTCAGACTGTGATTAAGCCATCTTTAGGTACTCAGACTGTGATTAATTCAGGTTTAGATACTCAGACTGTGATTAATCCAGTTTTAGATACTCAGACTGTGATTAATCCAGTTTTAGATACTCAGACTGTGATTAATTCAGGTTTAGATACTCAGACTGTGATTAATCCAGTTTTAGATACTCAGACTGTGATTAATCCAGTTTTAGATACTCAGACTGTGATTAATCCAGGTTCAGATATTCAGGCTGTGATTAATCCAGTTTTAGATACTCAGACTGTGATTAATCCAGTTTTAGATACTCAGACTGTGATTAATCCAGCTTTAGATACTCAGACTGTGATTAATCCAGGTTCAGATATTCAGGCTGTGATGCTAAGACTGCTGCTTAGATACTGAAATTCAATACTGAATTAAACAGAACACTAATTTTTCAATTATTGCTGCAATTCAGTTGGTACAGTAAAATATTAAATTGTATAATTATTTATTTAAATATGATCAAGCAGTAAAGAAAGAGTTTTTGTCCCTCATACTGCAGCATCATCCATGGCTATGTGGAGGCCAAACATGCTTCCTGTGAGAATATCAATACGACCGCTGCATCTTTTCAAACTGCTGCTCAGGCACAGCTGTAGAGCAGCTGAACATGCTTTAGAGGCGACTGCTCGATTCTATAGATTAACAGGAGATGAACTAAGCCATTCTAAAGAAGAGCAGGTCTCTACAAAAGGCCGTCAGGGTCCAGCAATTTGATGCAACCTAGCTGATACAAATTCTTAGCCAGCTGCACCATTTATTAGGAAGCCATCCAGAAAGAGACTCTTCTTATTCTCTTCTATCTCCTGAGAAGGTCTGTTCTGTTTACTGATGTGAAATAATTTATGCCATTGATCAGGGGTCAGCAACATGCGCCGCCTCCTTACTGACCCCTTGCTGCTCCACAGCTGAATAAGATTTGTAGGCAATAATAAAATAATTATTCTTTGCAGTAAAATAAAGCTTTGCTGAGCGCTCTTACACAGTTCTAACACAGTTTTAACATCAGAATTAACGTATAACTGCTAATTTGCCAACCTTGAAGGTTGGCGCACAGACTGCTGATCACCATAGCAACGCACACAACAATCTTGCCTAGGTGGCTAGTGGCTAATGAACGGGTAAAAAAAAGAAAGACTTAAGACAAGCATTGATATTTTAGAAATGAATGGATTTATAATGACTCTGGTTTCCTCATATGTTTAATCTAACTGTCAACCACTAAGCTTAAGTTTAAGCTAAGCTTAAGTCGGCTCCTTATTCGAATTTTCCCATTCCACCTTAAATGATGCAGCAGTTACATTCTGGTGCCTCAGGCACCATTTAAGGTGGAAAGGGAAAATCTAAACAAGAAGCGACTTCAGCCTCATAAAGAAGCTTAAAGCAGAGCAAAGTCAGTCTGCGTTTCGGCTTACATTACATTCTCAGCCTATACTGCAGTAGCACATCAGCACATACTGAGACATATTTACAACCACGATGGTGAAACATTACTTCACTAAGATGGACATAAAATGTTGTGGCTCCCAAGGTGGACTGATTTTTGTTAAACGTGGCTCCTCTTAACATTTGGGTTGCCGTCCCCTGCCCTCGGTCATACCTCTGTTAGAAAGTCTAAAGAGGTATTCTCAATTATTATTACAAACTTCCCGTCCAAGAAACTGAAGTAAGTTCTAGTTTTTTTTCCCAGTTTGGCTGGCGCAGAGATTTCAGCAGGACGGTCAATACCGAGAGGTCTCCCTGCTGTCCAGAACTTTTCCCATTTGGGCAGTATTGACACTGACTGCAGTTTGGTAAAGCCCCAAGGCTTTTGAAAGGACTCTGTGACCCTTTCCAAACAGATAAGCATCAGCCTGGTATCTTTTTTCCCCTCTCTGACTCCCTCTACTCTCCAGCAGAGACCACGAAAAGGACAGCAAATGGAACAAGAGAAATGTCATAGAAAAGGTGCCACTGAGCTTAACATCGTGGGCCTGAACTGTTTCTTCTGTTTGCCTGATAATACAACCTTTCCTTAAGGCCAGGCCTATTATCCTCAGGCCATGCGTGATCCTCTTCGTCCTCGGTGACGGAACGAAGCACCTGCAACACCAGTCTCTGCTCTAGTACCCACCTCTACCTCTACGCCTATCAGGAGCTCACATCTACTGTGCCATACACTCGAAGCTGCAGACGAAGATGACCTTGATGACTGGACCGGCTTCCCCGCGGCAGCTCGGCGAGACGGAGATTAAAATCACATTAAAAAC